CAAGGACTATTTCGAAACTTGAAATATAATTGCATTTTTTTGTGTACGGATTATTTTCTTTTAATGCCATGTTGCTTATTTTGGTAATTATCCACTCTTTTGGAACATCTCGAGGCTTAGGAAATGAATTTGCGTCATCTTTTTTCGAGATAGAGAAAGTGTTTCAGTTTCCCAAAAATGACCCTTCACTTTCTTTAATACAAGCAAATTCATTGATTTCATGCAGTTTTCATTGTCTGAAATTAGAATCGCCATCGTTTTACTATCTTGAAAATAATGCAACATGTTTCTGTTGTTCCGGTCATGACAATAACACTGGTGAGGAGGTGCAGACTGACAATGAAATTATCTATGGGAAATGAACAGAGACGGTGTCAACAACGTATACCCAAGTAAGAATCATTGGTTTGTTTATGATTAATGTTTGTTTGAATATATATAATTATTTATTTTGAATATATTCTTACAATGGACAAATAAAGGGCACAGAGTGAGCCAGTCTATGCGACCACTTGCTGGGGGTACCGGTTTGTGGTCGATTGGTCGACCTTGAAAACTGAGCCGAGTGAACTTGTCGGCCCAAAACGCATGTCTGAGGCACCTATCCGAAACACCTGAACGGGTCTGTCCTTATAGCAATGGTCAGTTAACTTCGCACGTCCGCTTAATAAGATCGTTTGTTAAGACAGCAACACATTCATTAATCATATAATGTACAAACTGGACCCTCTTGCATCGATTAGATTGAATTATTTAGAACCATTCAGTGAATCAAATCAAATAGATCATCACTTTAAACAATAAATTTTGTTTAAAAACATAACTGGTATTATGTCCGGGTCCGTACTGTTAGTCCCCGAAAGGGCAGGTGACCCTCATTAAGCATAAAATACATGACATAACATAAAGCAATGTGTATTTGTGAGAAAACCTATCCAGAGTATGACAAAATATACAAATATCTTTGACGTTACGCAAATAACTTGCAAAAATGTTATGATGTAAATAGTTAATTAAGTATTTTATGTACATTATATAACTTGATTAAATATATATTATGCTCATCGTTGAGGAAAATACTTTTATTGCACAAATTTATTGAAATCTATAAGATTCTTACCAAATATGTCTTATTTAAAAAACAAAATAACATACAAATTATATATCGGACTCTGTGTTCCTTAGTACAGGTCAAGTAAAGTGGGTTTTTTCTTTAAAAAGAACTGCCTTTTTTAATGACACTTTATTTAAATTGTGATGATCTATAATGTGTTTCAAACACAATATACATGTATCTACTTCGTCTAATGTCAAAACATGTTTATTTTATATTTACAAAAAGACCGTGTAGCAATTATCAGCATTTTTAAATATCAAATTTAAGCGTCCTATATTTTGAACCAAACTCGTCTGGAGACATGAACTGATTGTTAAAATAAAATTGAAGATGTCAGCTTTTTACTTCATTTTGAAGATGTCTAATGGAGTGTGTAAATAATTGTAAATGATGTAATAAATTTCAAATATGAAGTTTAAAATTTATTAACATGAATTTGTATTTACATTTTCTGTTACAATTTCTAAAAAAATTATTTCTGTAATTTATTTCCAAGTTATCTTACTGTAAAGTTTTTCCGCCAAAACATTCTAACATCGGCGAAATCGTCATTTCCGGAATTTCATTTTGTACAATCTTTGGTATTATATAATTTTAAGCGTTTATAACCGGAATTTAGCTCATAGCGATAAAGGATTATAAAGTATCTTATGCCAAACATGTTGAAAAAATAACATTCCGGAAAAAACCGATTTACTACGATATTGGTCGATGTTAGAAATTTTTTGGGCGGGAAAACATAACAGTAAGACTACCTTAATATAAGACTAACAAAGCTCAGTTGTTGCAGTAATAAAACAATAGAAAATAGAAATCATATAATTCAATGTATTCACATTTTCTGTGTCATCCTATGATAAGGCAATTGTGTATTTATATATAGATGATATTAAATGAGTATAGGTTCAATACTGAATTTATTGACCGTAATATTCTTCAATATACTCAGTAATATAGCTACACGAATACAATATTTTAATTATCACAAATCCAAAAAGAAAGAAGTATTTACAGTAAAACAATCTGCTTTACAACGATTCGCCTATACCGTAACGCTTATATTTAGCAATCTTTACACTATGTCTGTATAACGCAAATTACGTCATGACAAACACGAAGTGTTTCTTTAAAAGGTGATTTGCCGAGATTAATCTGCTTTTACTTGTAGTTTTTCTTTTCAGTAACACTGTCCCTAATAATTTTATTCGTACTCAAAATGTTCGTTTTAACTCATTTTTACCATCGTGTATAACGTTTGAAACAAAGTTTTTTTAGCAGTATGTTTAATTCTGAATGGGTGTTTTTTTCACTTAAAGTGAATTACTTTTTTAAATAAGCAATTGAAGTTTTATCAAATTGAAATTTTAATAGAAAGTTTTTTCGATACTAAAGCACTGGTGGAAACAATCAATAAACTTTTTAAATTCGAAACAAACCGTAAGTCTGTTACCTGAAAACTTTAGAAAAACAATTAAAATTGACAAACAATTAACACCTTGGTGTTATAAATATATTTAATCTATATTCAAACATATATAAAATATAAATTGAAGACAAACTATATTACTCAGTATGTGATGATATTTTAAAAGTGGTGTAAATAATTTATGGGGGGAAACATAATTTAAAGAACTTATACATATGATGAAAAAAAAGTAAATGATAGAACTTAAAAATCTGAGTAACTACAAAAGATAGTTTGTTTCCGGAACTCATTAAGATTAGTAAAACATAAGACGAGTTCACCATTCGAGAAAAAGAAATATATTAGTTTACTTAAATTAGAATGGCAAATGAGATTCCAAGATGTTTAAATGACCAATATCAATTCTGCTTATATTCAGTTCTTCGCTGTCAATTTTACAGGACGTCAGAAATATTTAAGAAGACCTTTAAAGCAGCACGCCTCCAGATTCATGTTAATTTTCAGGAAAAAATTAGGAAATGTCATTAAACGTTAAATATTGTGAGGTGAACAAATAATTAGAGGATATTTTTTCGTTTGAGTGAGATATGTCATATATTTAATAAAATGCCACATATTTTCACGAGCCGGCATGTGATCATGTTGAGTCAAAATATATACCATATTTCACGAACATTTTTATTTAATTTCATTATTACAGAAAAATAGTTACGAATCCTCTTGCTTGCTACTTAACAGCAATTGTACAGAGCGCAGTAATATATTATTTATAGATGCGTCTTATTTTGCCTGTATTTTCACGCGCTGTTTGGCGATACATTGGGACGTCACGTAAACAACTGTTTAAACGTCCGTCTGTACAGCGTTAATGACTCAATTACAGATATTTGTGTTCGGATTTATTTTCTTACTAGTTAGACTTTTTTTCTATCATTCTAGATTTCAAAACAAAATTCAACAGAAAGTTGTTTTTATCTATCAGATTATTTTAAACAAAATGGCGAAAGAAGTCCCTTAAAATAAATATGAGTTTTAACCCCGCCCACTTTCATATTTATATTTCAAATTTATTTTTACAAATATGAAATATATTTAACTGATATAGCACCATATTTCATGGATAAAATCTAATAAAGTAATTTACATATTGCAATCAAAGAAAATTACCAAAAAGTCGTCAACATATGCGAAATGAGCCCTTACTGTGTTAAGTAACGCAGTAGAAATATGGTAATAAAGTTCTACAGATCAGTTTGAAACCGCACAAAACATGAAAAATATAACTTGGATCTTGAATGTTTTTTCCTTTCTTAACATATTAGTACATTTTTCTCAGGATTTTCATGAAATATTTTGTCTCACCTGGAGGCGTGGAGCTTTAAGTCATGTTGCAAACTAAAATAATTATACTCGGATATAAAAATTGGGCAATTTTTTCCAAATAAGTTATTAGTATAAAACTTCATCAAGTGGTGTTAATGGCTTAAAAAATATTCAGTTTTGCTATGTCAAAGAAATTGGAGTCCTTTAATATATTAATTCATTTAAGCAGACCTTAAAATGTTTTCTTCCGTAAACAAACAACACTTTTACATGTAGCTATTGCCTGTCTAAACAATAGTAAAACTGTACCAATTAATTATATACCCGTTCCGCTCTTGTGGCTCCATCTTATTGGTATTGCATGGCCTTACATATATTTTGACGTGACGTCATTATCGTTAAACAACATCGCGTAAAGACGCGCTAAATAATAGCGCTACTTTATAATTCCGTCAATTGAAACATTTTTATTTTATTTTAATATTATCAGTTATTATTTTGGGTATGTGATGAATCGAATATTTTATTCCTGTAGCTTTGTTTCTAAATTAATTCAATTTGTGTTCACTCATTAAATATCCTCTACTTAGTCTTTTTGATAAGCATTCATAGTTAACGTCAAATATGTAATCAATCCACTCTGTAATAATTTATAGGAAGAATAATTACATAATATTTAAGAAATAATTTACTAAATTGCTTTACAGGAAGGCAGTTTAAAGCAACCAGAGCCAGTTGACTGCCTTGAGCTTTTAGAACAAGGCTATACCGAGGACGGTATTTATGTGATTCAACCAACCGGAAGTACTGCCACTGATGTGTGGTGTGATATGACCAATGGTGGATGGACGATTATACAACGCCGGCAAGACGGATCGGAAGATTTCTACAGAAATTGGGAGGAATACAAACATGGATTTGGGAACAGGAGTAGCGAGTATTGGCTCGGACTTGAAAATATTCATCATTTGACACATAACGACAGTTCCCTGCACATATACATGGAAACATTCCAAAATGACAACATGAATCCATTTTCTGCTTTTGCTGAATATTCCACCTTCACGATTAATGACGAGGAGTGATAAATACAGATTGACGGTTGGAGGATATCACGGCTCGTGTGGTGATTCCATGTCGCATCATAATAATTGTCGATTCTCGTCCAAAGACAGTGACAATGACCAGGATACAGGGAACTGTGCACAACTCTATGGCGGAGCTTGGTGGTACAAATCATGTCATAACGCGAATCTAAATGGGCTTTATCTGAACGGGGCTAATACCGAAAATAGTCGTGGTATTAACTGGGGTGACTGCTGGGGTTACGAATACTCTCTCAAGAATATTGTAATGAAAATAAGAACAAATATGTGATTTTTCTCTTATATTGAATGTGTAAACTTTTTATGTATTACGTCATACCACGGATACGTTAATTAACAGTTTGATTGGACCATTATGTTTTATATAACAAACAATTTATATAAATATAATAGTGTATTCACAAATTTGGAAGACAGGCATCCCTCGTGAGTAATAAAATCACAAATTATGCCAGATCTTCTTTTTAAAACAATAAACTTGGTATTAACTTAAAACAAATCAGCAATACTATACTTCATAGATTTAAATGAGCGTATTTTTCTGTTTGTGATTACATTACAATTTGATAACTAGTTATTTTATATTTCCATATTTATATTGAAAAAAATATTTTACTGTCTATTTAGATGTAGCTTGCTTTCAAATATTGTCCTTTTACAGTTCGTGTAACAGGCTTGATAACCACTAAGAGTAAAGATTTAATTTCACATATTATTTGGCCATTTAATATGTATATGTTTTCTTTTATTGGAAACCATAGACGACTTATCACATACAGATATGTAAGTTGCTATTCGACAGTGTTATATAAACTGTTTGCTGGCCAACTTCCACGTTTTCTTCATATCCTCAATAACAGCTCCAAACGCATAAGTCGGACAAGAATATAAATAACACATGGGTTTGTGGGTAACAGTAAAAATATCATCACGAGGAAAGTACTGTAAATCCGAGACGTTATATAATTACCCGTGGAAAACAGTATTTTTACATGGAATGATATTTTTACTGTTACTCAAAAACCCATGTTTTGTTTAAATTTTTACCCCGAACAATAACTGTGATGAATTTTATGATGATTTTTTTTTATTTTATTTAGAAAATAGACAATGTGACCAGATTTCATACTGTTAAAAAGACTGATACCCTGTAACAGTACAAATTTCATAGTCACGTTGTGCGCTTGAATTAACAGTTTAAATTTCTCCCAGTGACCTGTGGGAAATTAACATTAAACAAAAAGTGAAGGGAAATAATACTTTTTATTAAGGGTTAGGTTATGTCTCATACAGAAATAGTCTATGTCTGCATAAGTTTAACGAGTCTTTAGTCTTAAAAGTTAAGAATCGTGATTGTCCCGCGTAGTTCACAGCAACATTTTAGTAATAGACTTATAAGAGAATTGCTAAACTTAGAATCAGTTACAAGCAATACATTTAAGTAAAGAACTTAAAAATCGTTGTCTTATGGTTTAGTTTAATAATATGTTATTGCATGTATACATACATATACATCAATTCTTATGTTTCAACATAATTACACAATAAACAAAAGGTTTTGGCCTAAAGTTTTTGCAATATTATCGTGGGCTCTTCCCATCAGTTTCATAAAGTAAAGATAGTTTACATTTAAAGTAAATATGCATTAAGTAGCTAAGCATTTTCATTTTTATACATGAGCAATATGATTGAAGAGAAAAGAAGAAAAGAAGAGTTGCTGTATTAAAACACAGTTGGGTCTCGAAACTTCCACCGATCCCCTATACCAATTGTGAAGCGAATACCCATTTGTTAGTACTGAGCAAAATTAACCAAAATACTTGTTATATTGAATAAAAGTAAAAACGAATTAATTACAATTTATTTAAACATCTTGGTTTCTTAGATATAATTTTGAACATGCTGAAATAAGAGTTTATTTGAAAGTCGTTTAAATTCTCGATGCCAAAGAGTAGCGTTTAAGTACTAAGCGGATGGCATTCTCTGTTATTTGTAAATAGCTTTCTTCTTTGTAAAGTATTCTTTGACATTGAAATTATATATGTTAGGCATCCTCTATTATAATAAAAGAACCACATTCGCATACTGAATTAATAGTGAGTTGTTTAGTAAATAAATCAGAATTCAGATTGCTACAAATATTCCTAATATGAGAATGCGAAACAGCAGATACACGACTACCTTCGATATAAACTGGCGGGACAACAGGGGCTTTATATAATGTTTTATAAGCTTATTTTTGAATATAGATAAAGTTTTTGATTCCCTTATATCAGCTGGTAATTCGTTCCAAAGTTTTTTAGAGGATGGAATGAGAGAATTATCATAAATTTATGTTTTTCCTGCTATTGAAGAATTATTTACATTTTTTCGCAGCGAATATAATTGTGAGGAAACATTTGCGACGATTGGTGAGAATAATTGTGATAAGTATATCGGTAAAAGGTTATGTTTTTACTCTATTTATCAAAAAAAAAAGTTTTATTTTTTCTCCTGTTGTCTATGATAGCCATCCTTTTAGTTTAAAGATTTTGAATTAAAAAAAATCTAGTTAAACCTGTTACAACCCTTGCTGCTTCATATTGTAGTTTTTGTAAAGTTTTTTTTCATATTGTGTACTGTTATCCAATATTTATGACACATATTCGACCCTTGGACGAATATAAGAAACAAATATATATGTATAATGTAAGAATTGTGAATGTCTCGCGTAGGTCTCAGATACATTTTTGCTTATTGTCATCTCATAATAGAATTGCTAAACCTAGTATCTGTTACAAGCAATACATTTAGGTAAAGAACTTTATAATGTACGTCGTTTTATTTGTTTGTTTGTTTGTTTGTTTGCTCGGTTGATTGATTGGTTGGTTGACTGGCTAACTTGTTGGTTGGTTGGTTGAATTGTGCGTTCGTGTGTGTGCGTGCGTTTGTGCATGCATGCGTTTTGCAGTTGTAATTATTTGTGATTTTTGTTTGTTTGTTAATTGTTTGATTGTTTGGCTGGTTGGTTGGTTGGTTGGATGGTTGTTCGGTGGTGCGTGCGTGCATATGTGTGTGTGAACGCGCGTGTGATTTTATTATTGTTGTTGTTTTTGTTGTTGTTTTTCCCTTCATAAAACGTAGTTCCTATACTTGTTGTACATTTGATTATGTATTTACTAAGTAATGTGACTTACAAGTCCTTTGTTAATACTTTTCAGCAAAATATTCTCACTTTATACAGTTAATGTTTTTGAATGAATACTTGCTTTTTTATGTATCACATTTCTGATAATAAAACCTTTCACAGAATATGAAATTAATTCTTTCACTATTCAAAGCACATGACGGTCCTTGGGATAGAAAAGTGTCGTACGTGTACATCATTTTGTTTATTTTTTAGGTCAAAAGCTGCAATATATATCAAAACGAAAAACTCTAAAAGTATTGTTTGACAATATTTACCTGAGACTGATAAATTATCGGAAGCTTTTTCGTTTGTTTCGTAATTTATTACTAATTACTAATTTATAATTAAAGCGTAAAGTTCTCGATACATTAAATCATACATACGGCCCGATGGCCTAGTATGATGACTTAACAGTCGCACAGTTTAAAGTTCAAATCCTCTTCATTTTTTTAGATTTCTCAAACTAGTTATTTTTTATCTATATGCAAAATTAATGGATGAATAATTTGTTTAATTTCTTGTGTCTATTTCTAACTTTGATACATACATGCATAACTATGTAATTTGTCATAATCCCAATGTGTAAAGTCGCACAGTAGGTGATTTGCATACCTTAAAACATAATACTTGAGTTTTGGAAACTATGAAAAAGAAAATAGAAAAAAATAATGTTTAATTGAGAGTGTCACCTACAATTTGAAAGTAAAAATCTTAACTCTTTGACACAGATGCATGTGTTGATTTAGTTACTTTATGTCATAAATAACCCATGTGTACCGTTATGCTGTACTTTTATCCGTAACATTAACTTCGGAATCCGATTATTACCGACAAAAGGTCATTGAATACTAAAATGTCTCGGGTTAATATTGCTAAACAATACAAAACAATTACAAAGCTGTCGGAGCAACATTGATAATGGTACCGTATTATACTGGCAGTTCTTTCAATTTAATCTTACAATGGTATATAATTTATAATATATATATGACGTTCGGTTAACAATAATTAGATAAGGCGTCCGTGTCCGAGTGGTTAAGGTCGTTGACTTCAAACCACTAAGTACTATTTTCTTAAGATGCAAGGCAATTTTTTAATAACAATAGAGGTATGAAACAATACAATGTAATACAATAATTAAATCCATCTAGAGTTTTAGATATGCAATTAATTATATATAATTTATATTACAAACAGCTTTGGACCGACAAAAAGGTTTTTGCATGTTCATAAAGGTTTTTGCATGTATATGGTTTGCTTAAACAAAGTAAAATTAATATTTTGTATGTGCCGTTCATTGTGATTTTATTAGTTAATTAATTATTTATTTTGTTGAGGACAGCAGCTATTACCGACCTAAACAGTAGCACATTTGTATTACAATGGCAATTGTTTTTTAACCTGTAAAACCGACAATATACATGGTTACAATTATCATGTTTCTATGTAGTCTTTGTTTGATTATCAATCAACAGCTATCTCATCTTTAAAATGTTCCATTTGAATTTTTGCAATAATTAACAAAACAAAAAATAACAAACAGAAATAAACAGAGTAGTTACTCATATTTCATTCAATATCCAAAGTTCCAAACCATTGAATAATCTAAACAGGCATTCAAAACATTTTTACTAAAGAGATTGATTTATTTAATCATTTTAAAGTTGTTAGTATTCATTGACAAGGTATAAAATTACCACGCTTTTATGGCACATCATTTTGACAATACATCAATAACACATTCAGTTCTCCCTTTAAAATCATTTCATCTTTTCCAAGTGACCAAGTAACATTATAACAACAATAATAAAAAAAACAATGCATTGATGGAATTTACATATCTGGTCTCAGGTATTCATAACAACAAGACGTAATGTTATACAACTGACTCTTATTGTTAATTAATTATCATTGAACTAGCTCGTTTAAATTTAAAGCGCATGTTCAAATGGCTTGTCGTTGTTTAATTTGGAAAGAAATGGAATTTGTTTCTTTTAAAGCAAAATCAATGTTAATGTTTCTTTCTATGATTCAAGCTCTTTCAATTGTACAGATTTTTGCAAATGAAAAAGTAATATCGACATACGAGTTGAAAAAAACAACTAACGCTCCGCAGTTGGGTGCATTTGTTATTGCAATACAAGAAAAGTCTTTGATGTCATGCACTTTCAAGTGTCAAAACTTGGACTGGTCATCGTTTTATTTTATTGCACATAATTCAACATGTCTTTGTGCATTGGTTGAAAATGATATAGTAAGGATTGAGGATGTGGGCGCAGAAATAATCAATGGAATAAGAAAAGAAAAAGAGACAAGAGCATACATTCTAGTAAGAAGTTGTAGTCATTCTTTATTCATTGTCTAAGATTGTTTACATTACATACGAGATAGTAAGATGTCAATAACTATAAAAAATATCGAGATTTATTTATTTTATATTTGAAACAACTGAACGAGTAAACATTAATATTTATGTGTTTTGAGTTATCAGTGAATATTTTTAAGCAATTGATTAAAATATAGTATGGCAGTTTATTAATTATATTATCCGTGTTGGATATCTTAATGCTATCATAAATTACTAAAAAACGAAAGTACGAACATTGTGAGAGATGAAGTTAAAATGTTGAATTGAAATCGTCCGTAGGGTTTCTGTTAATGGGTAAAATCTTACCGAAAATTTTCAAGTTTGCTCTGTTAACAGTTCATCGTAAACAATATATCTGTCACTTTTTATCAGTGATTTTATACAACTACAAAAATGTATCAATTGTAAATTTTGAATATCTTTGTTTATGGTTTTGTTCAGACTGTAAGAGGGGAAAAGTCTTTTATGGTATTTAGCAGGAAAAGGGTTAAATTGATATAATTGTTCTCAGTGACCTTATGTAAAAAAACACATAATAAATTTGTCGATTCAATATATTGCTATAAGTGGAATTCCAACTGCTCGGACTTACTTTATTTTTAACAGGAGGGCAATCAAACAGTGACACGAATACACAAGCAACCAGAGCCAATTGACTGTCTTGCGCTTCATCACCAAGGTTACGCCGAGGACGGTGTGTATGTGATCAAACCAGCGGAAAATACATCTGCTACTGATGTTTGGTGCGACATGTCCAACGGTGGGTGGACGGTGATACAACGCCGACAAGATGGATTAGAAGATTTTTACAGGGGATGGGAAGAATATAAAAATGGATTTGGCAACAGAGTTGGCGAGTATTGGCTGGGACTTGAAAACATTTACTATTTAACAGAAAACAACAATTCACTTTATATATACATGGAAACGTTTCAGAATGACAATATGAATCCGTTTTCTGCTTTTGCGGAATTCTCCATCTTCAGAATTAATGATGAGAATGATAATTACAGATTGACAGTTGGAGGCTATGAAGGCCCGTGCGCCGATTCCATGTGGTTTCATAATGGTTGTCAATTTACAAGCAAAGATAGTGATTACGACGCCAGCGACGACAACTGTGCAGTAGCATATAAGAGAGCTTGGTGGTACAACGCATGTCACAAGGCGAGTGTAAATGGATTGTACTTGAACGGGACACACAAAGAATACGGTCACGGTATAATTTGGGCCGGATGTTGGGGTCAATACTACTCACTCAAGATAACTGTTATGAAGCTAAGAAGAAGTAACTGAAATTTCAACATATTTATGGTTGTTGTATGGTTGTTGTATGAAGACATCTGCGGAAGTTTCTTAATTTAAAATTTCACCATTTTTCTTATCTTAATGCTGAATTCTGCTGAAGCCAGTGCTATGGGCTTGAATAGTACCGGTACTTACCAGTGCCGTCCATGAATAAGCGGAAGCAAACCGAGTCAGCAAATTTTCAATTTTGACGTTTGAGCGTTCTTTGGAGATACCGTTTTGACATGTCAAATGGTGGATTGACAGTAATTCAACGCCACCAAGATGGATTGGTTGACTTCTATAGAGATATGGGTGAATACATGGATACATTTGGGACCGTAAAAGGAGTGTACTGGCTTGGTCTTAGATACATTAATATATTAACAACAATTGGTAGTGAACCTTATATAGAAATGGAAACATTTGAACATGATCATGTTTCACCCGCATCAGCTTTTGCCGAATATTCCACATTTAAGGTTAATGACCAGATTGACAAATACAAATTGTCAGTTTCAGGATATAATAGTAACTGTGCAGAATCTTTAGGCGTTCATAACGGTTGGGTTTTCTCAACATTCAATAATGATAATGACGAAACAGGTAGCGAAAATTGTGCCGTTAAATACAATGGAGCTTGGTGGTAAGAGCCTGTCATGCTTGTAATTTAAATGAGTTATATTTGGGAGGTTCTAACACAGAATATGGTAATGGTATCATTTGGTCAACGTGCTTGGGGCAAGAATATTCGCTTAAACGTAGCGTTATGAAGATGCGCCGGAAAACCGGAAAACGTACGGTTTAAACAAAAATGGTAGGATAATTCAAATACGACATTTCTGTTTTAAGACATTATTTCTGATAACAACTTTCTTACATTGAATTCAATAAGGTAAGTAGACAACATGTCTAAAGCAAACGTATCAGAACGTATAAAACATTTGATCTAAGTCTTATATTTCATACATACTTTGTTAACTCTTTTCGGAATAATTTAATTAAAAAAACTTGATAAATTCCAATATCCCCGTGTTATGATATAAAAATGAGAAATATGTGAAGTATGTACACATGCTGACAATATGGGATACATTTTCTATTGGGAAAAATACGACGCTTTACATTTTCATTTTGCCGTTTTGGATTATCTAAGTATGTATCACTTATTTTTTCTTTCTTTGTAAAGGTAAATGTGGGTTATGTATTTATTAGTGAATTGTTTTGATGCTTTTTCTTTAGTTATTGGACAATAATGTTAGATAATACCTGTATCATTTTATACTTTCTCTCTTTTTTGTTGTTGTTGTTGTAAAGACGTAATTGGGTTATAGATAACTGTCTGTTGTTCTCTTTTTAAGGAGAGTAGAAGAGATAATTGTTTATCAAAATAAGAAGTGTTTTTGGAAAATATTATTTATGAATGAAACTAGCATGTTATAATAATGAGTATTTTTCATTATGTTACAATCAGTCAAATAGTATAAACATCCAAAGTTTATATGTATTTTCTTCCTACTGTTAACAGAAAAATAGAAAAGACGTTATAATATTTCTAATTATTTTTCTGACATAAGAGTTAATTATTGACAGCTTAGATTTGTATACAAAAATCGCCCATAGAACTCTTAAAATTTAAAACCTCTACAAAAACTTAGTTGAATTAGTTAATGCATTATATATGATTATGTTTCTTCTTTTAAAATAAAAAGACAATTTGAGTTTGAATGTATTGTGTTTTTGTGAGTGTGAAACTATGCCTATTATTGGGAAAAATAAATAGGTTACATGTTTACAGAAAATTAAAAAAAAAAATTTCTGTTTGGAAAAATACGCCGTTTTAGATTTTCATTTTGCAGTTTTAGATGATATATAATTTTCATGTTCTATATTTCACAGTTATAATGAACATTCAGAAATGTTTGACGATATTTTGTATTTCGTTATAGTATTTAATCATACAGGTTTGCTTATAATATACAACATTTAGCTAATAGACAAAAATATGGAATGTATTCAGTGTTTAAATATATCTTAAAGAAGTATGAACAAATTTTCTGTTTCCTTACAATATTCTGATTCTTTTGATGGTTTTATCGGGAATTTAGTGTATTCAATCTGGGATTTTTAAGACATCAAAGCCAGTGGAGAGATTACTTTTAAAATATTACAAGTCAAAGCGACCGTCAGTTTTTATTTTCTGTTGGAAACACACTTATGTGTTGTTTCAAACTATGTATTTCAATAATTTTAGTTTGTAAAGTTCATCATATAACTGTTATGCTTTCTCCAAAACAACGTTAAGAGAGCAATTCATAGCGCGCCAGTTAGGTTCGTTTTTAAAAAGAGAAGATCGCCGCTTTACTAATTTACATAAAGAGAGCAAACGGTATATTAGAGGTATCGAGGGATTTCCTTATTGTTTCGGCAAAATTCATTTTCTTCCATTATACTTCTTTTGATTTGACAATTATATGAAACGATCTATTCAAAATTAACATATTTAACCTTTAATTTCGGTTATAAATGTTCTAGTTTACAGCAGTTTATCGAGAATTATGGAATATATTTTATACTTTTATGACACTTTTTTCTTAAAAATATAGTCAGATATTGATATTCTTACGTTTTGTAACTAGGTAGTATGAATCTGTATAAATGCGTATTGTTTTATTTAATATGTACTCCGTTGTTAGTTAAGCGTTAGAACTTTTGTTTTTCCTGGTCACGTAACATTTCTATGACAAATAAAATATATTTGTACTTTTTGCAGCTGGAGAAAATGATGTTATGTTTACTTCTAACAGATTTAACGCGAAATTAATGAATGTCAATATTAATCTTGTCAGTGCATATCACACACATTCTTCAGCTAATAATGATATACTCTCACCTGTAGACTCAAATCGCATGTAAATATCGTCATTGTTAACATCTTGTCCCTTTGTTTGTTAATTTGTCTGATTGAAAACCTTGTTCCTAGAATTATATTATAGATTGATTTCTTTATTATTTGCATATTTTCTGTAAACAGCATTCATTTAGCTAGGAGGTTGCATTTATAGTATTTTTACTTCATAATCTTTGACAGGTGTTATTGTTTGATTATGCATTATAGGTTGTATAACTTTCGTTGTCAATAGCAATTGCTACTGGAGCTAAGTTAACAAAATAATTTCAAGCAAAGTTTCATCAAAAACATCAGAATTAGAACCATTCCATGTTATTAGTCATTTTTATAAACGTTATATGTTATGTTTTATCATCTTTGTGTGTAAACTTTCATATAATTTGGGCAAAGAATTGTTGATGTTCGGTTGGTTGACAGTGTTCTTTGTGTATGGAAATGATCGTTTCCGAACGTTAACTAAATAGGTCAGATTTCGAACGAAAAACATTGTCCATTGACCAAAATGTACGGCTTAACATTTTTCAAACGTTTTATTGTTTGTTGAACTTCTCAGTTTTGGTATAAATAGGCCCCAAAACAATTAATTTCAATCAGGTTTCATTGAACTTTCGGTTAGATACATGTTACATTATTGACTTTTTTTCTGCTGACGGCAATTCTTTTTGATTTTAAGGCCAAAAAAAACTTTAGATTATTATTTTGCATTAATTCAATAATTATATAAGAATAGATAATAAAGACTTTGGATTTTTATTTCACATTTTAACTGTCACTGACTCGACCAAACTTTGAACTTTCGATTTCACATTTTAATGAGCAATAAATCGGCAGTCGTGGATAATAATGATGCGTAGTTCATCAGATGAAGATCTTTATGATAATTAAGACTGAATTATCTTGCATGTACATATGTTGCTTTTATTTACAATACTATTACTAGTATTTGATTCACATTTAGATTTATTAAAAGTAAACACTTATTAAAATAAGAAAACTTTTAACAGTCTTTCTTTGTGGGTCAAGTTTTATCTTAAAATGGTGTACCTTCAAAAGAATGGGATTATTGCAAAGTACAGTGCATTACAGTTAAGTTGCCATATAAAGTTATACAGAGAAGCCCACAATTGACAGATGTTATTATATCATATTACAGTTAAATAGATCTATAGGCTTTGACAGCTGCCTGAAGCAAGTATCACCAATCCCTCAAACCCTAACAATCTTTATTTAAGATAGAACATTGTCATAACTGTGATCACGTTACCACACTTAAGGAGGATAAAAGGGTCTTTGGACCACAGCTGGATTGGTATACTACATTTAATGTTGACTATAGGTGGGATTAGATAGTAAAACATCAAATCCAGTCAAACGAATACAAGCCTTAGCGGGACATTTGATGCCAAGATGAATAACGTGCAAGAAGTCAATATGCATGCCAGTACTTCAACTGTAGTAAGCCAGGGCATAGTCATGAAAGGGATGATAACATGTCAGTCCTATCACAAATAATGTGTTATTATGAAGATCACCAAACTTACAAAATTCACCTGAAATAAATAATGTGAATGACGTCCTTTCCAGTATCATCGGTGTTTTCAAAGATGTTAAAACTGAGAAGTTAAAAGCAGTCTCAATGACCACATTTATGTATCAATAATGGCAGTTATAACAAGCAAATTCGTTGAATTTATATCCCCCGACGAGTACTGGTTATTATTAACACAACAACTGAAGACATAAGGCTTTATTTAATATATATTAATCATGGCATAAACAGTAATATTCTTTGAACTTGATAAATATTCAGGGCAATAACAGAGCCATAACTTTGTGTTAAATAGTAAAATCTGGACATGCCAATGAGATGTTTGCACATTACATAACTAATCAAGGGCCATAAATCTGAGTTATAAGTATCTGACTGGAACAAGGCGACAATATGCACATCTCCTCTTAGTATCCCATAAAGTTTCATTGAATTCCAGCCAGTAGTAGCAGAGAAGTAGCGAGGAAACAAATATTTTTCTATATGGATACTGCATAACTAATCAAGGGCCATAACTCTGAGTTAAAGTGTCTGACCGGAACAAGCCGA